CAATGTGAGGCGATCAACTTTGAGGCATTTTGCTTAACCAGTCACATGTTTCTTATGCTAAGTGTGACCAGCATGTGATGGTTAGGCGCACATAAATCTTATACTAAAGATCCCCTCGCATCTTCACGTGGTCTGGCATATCTGACTTTCTCTGGTAGCATAGGAAAGAGGCTCTTTAAGAAATTTGCCAGGCCAGTCATATTGGCAAGTTTGGCCACGATTTCCTAACAGTGCTCTTGACATCGTTCTGAAATCATTTTCCAGTGATCCTAGCGCTTCAGCAGTTGAATTAAATGAAGATGACTTGAGGAATTTACGATCCCAATCTGAATTCAATTCAAGTAAGCTCAATTTGGTGGCAGCAATTATTTTGGCATCCATTTCATCATGAGACTATTTAGTACCTAAAATCAGTTTATTGGCATACTGAATCGTCAACTGTTTTGACATAATGGTTTCCATTAATTCCCGAAATGATGCGCCGCCAAGACCAGAAGGAAGATGGTTCATCTACAAGAAAAGATGGTGTTTCTAGGCTTCCTATAAACCAGATTCTGGTAAGGGAAATCCAAAAATTGGTAGTTGATGTCGGCCGAGTGAAATAATAAAATGCCGAGATGGAGGAAACGGAAGTGACTGCGCGAAGCAGAAATGTAATATGCCAATTTAGTAAAGTAAATTAATCTTGGCCTGGTTAGAAAGCCTGCCAGCTAGAATAGCTCTACACCTTCCCATTCCATAAATCTCTTTTTCACCTTTAACATTTTAGCCATTACAATACACATGATGCTTCATTTGTCCTTCTGGTGAAAGCTCTTGCCCTGTCGATAGTTGAAAGATCAAGAAATGCAGAACTCTTCGAAGCTTGACGGAGGCATCTTCCAATTTGTGCCTTTTCAGAGCGTTGATTGGATCCGAGAATTCGCCATTTCATCCCTTCGCCAGACAGACATCATCCTTCATCTATTGCCTGCTCCACTTGGCATCGTCATCTTTACTCTGCTTCTGCACAGAATCTTCCATCTGACTCGTAGAAAGTCTCATGACAATCGTGCAATCAGCCCTGTGGTTGAACCCGAAATTGCCGCTCCCAATGTTGCCCAGGACGACTGGATCCTACCGACGGCAGAGCAAGACAGCAATGCTCTTGCAGTCTTAGACCGGCACCGAACGACCGGCTTTAATGCTTCAAGAGAAACGAGGCAAGCAGTAGCTCTGTCCATCTCCCGTTCGATCAACAATCCAACCAAGTTTTTCTTGGGCCTCACCTACTTCTTCAGCTTGCTCCTGTTCCTGGTCATCAGCTTCTTCACCATCTTGGCAGTCTCAGACTTGTCGTCTGACCTCCAAGCTTTGCCCAACCACACTGTCGACCTTCTGGCCAGCGGACTCCGGTTCGCCAACGATTCACTGCATTCCGCCTACCAGATCACTCTGAATCAAGTTTCCAAGGATGCCAGGCTACCAAAACCTCTCGGCAGTAGACTCATCCACTTAGTCAACAGTGCTAAGCTCAACTTTGCTCGGCTGGTTGTCGATCTGGCCGCCTCCAAAAACCTCCACGGGGCTGCCAGAAGCCCGGTCCGACTCACCGACAATGGTACAACGATGGTTGCCGCCCGACGACTGGTGAATTTGTTCGATTTGCTGGTGATGCGTGTTGACGGGTTAATGCAAGCCTTGGAGCCGTTGAATTCCACCTCAGAGTCGCGCATTCAAGGCAGTTGGTACACCTATCGGGATGCCTGTAAGTCCATGCTGTACGCCAGACCTTATCGGTCGCTCTTGACGCCCGGATTCACGGAGGGTGTGAAAGACTCGCCCACACAACGCGGCCTACCCCCCTTGCTACGGGAGACTGAGAATCTGCTCTGCGATTCTGCCAAGCAGGCCAACTGCTCGGCTGTACATGCCTATCTAGCCCGTGTCAGTCAATATCTGCACGAGAACATATCGTCTCTTCTGCCGAACGGTTCATTCAAGACAGTCACCAAGTATGCTCTTGTTTTGCAGATGGTAGACGCAGAAAAACAAGCTCATGCCTGGATTCCTGCTCTAGCCAGCCCCGTTGCCAAGGGGGCGCCAGTTCTCCTTCACCATTTTCTCTTGCCCGAGATGGACAGGCTTGTCGAAACGATGAACCACTGGACCAGGACTTTGTATCCCCCAAGTCTACAGGCCCGCTTGGCCGACTACCTACACTTTACTATCAAGGTTGCCATAGCAATAGTGTCATGCCTACTTTGCCTCGGTCTATTGCTCACTTGTCTCTCCTGCGTCATATGGTGCCAGAGGGCCCGAAAGTTCGGAGAGCCGGAGAAAGAGCTCTCGAATCACTGGCCCTCGAAATGCGCCTTTCGTCTGGTTGTGCTGTGCCTCTTCGGTGCCATCTGCTTCCTCATCATCTGGCCGACTTGGCTGATCGGATTGGTCGGCTCGCTTGGAAACACTCAGTTCTGTCGCTACCTGACGCTGACACCGAATCGACGCCTTGCTGATGCCTTGCTTGAAGAGGGCATTAGAAGAGATCTGTTTCTCACCCATTTACCGGTCGCATTCCAGCAGATCCTCGAGCTGCAACTCCATTCACCATATCCTCTGATTACCACTTTAGCCACGGAGTATAGGCCCGGACAGAAGGAAGGCTTGTTAGCTAGTCTTGGTATGAACAGACCCTTCAACTTTACTGCTGTCTTGGATTCCGCCTGGCTCAACATCACTTTGCATGAGGCTTGGAGGCATGTTGTTCGTCCGTTGCTGGAAGGATCAGATCTCACTTCTAAACTGCCAAAAACCGATGTATCACAAATTTTCCTCCAGACTCGAAAATCCTTGAAATTGGACAACTTATACGATTCACTCAAGGTCGAACCAGTTACCAGGTATCTAGTGGACCCAGGCTTGAGTAACATATTCGAGCCAATTGTCGCCTGGCTTCAGCTCATTGACTCCAAAGAGGCGACTTATTTGTTGCCATTCTTTGTGAATGCCAGCCGATTGTATGTCGACTACTCGGAAGGCTTTAAGCAGACCCGAGTTGCGCTTGAGTTGGTTCAGAAAAACAAGATGGTGCTTGGTCCATTACAACAGCTGATAGATGTCGTATCGCCTGCCTATAAAACATTTTCCAGTGCAGACAACAAAGCAGCGGTTGACTTCGTCGAGAGGACATTATTTCAATCGTGGCCGGAACAAAAAGACTTAGCCAAGTCTACCCTGGTCCCATTTGTCTATGACCTACTCGATGAAATGGTCCCATACGGTGGGATTAAACAAATTTTCCAGCTCACGGTAGGGACTATGTGTAGTCCTAACTACTCTTCTCCATCCAAATCTAGGCAGCGCGAGGCCATGTTTGAAAATATTCGTAAGTATGGCCTTTATACCATGCTTACTGCCATAACGGTACTGATGCTGACGGTTTTTTTGAGCTTTCTTCTCTAGTTGACACTTAGGTTTTCTTTCTGGCTTTAATTCAAAGATGTACTTGTATTTTTATTTTATTTTCCCTACAAAATATACGGAAAACACTAAAGAGCCCCTCTATTCTTGGTTTAAACAACACAAGCAACTTCTCTGTTAACTTAAATCCCGAATGTAAGCGATCGCAAGATGAGAAGGAGCCTCGGTACGTCCGTTGAATCAGTCTGATTCGGCCATTTATTTCAGAAATTCGGGTACTATATGTCCTATGAATGAGTTACATATTGCTTCAGTAGCAGTGGAAACACTTCTGCAAACTAGTCTGGCCTTCATAGTTTAACTGCTT